CTTCCTGATGACTAGCAGGGTGGCCCCCAGAGTGAGGACCGAGGTCACAGGGACTCTGTGGTCACAGGAAACTCCATCTCCAGCCCAGGCCATTCCCTGAGCCCAACTGCCTGTCCAGAGTGTCCCCATCAGAGCAAACGCACCATCACTCACCCCAAACTTCCGCCCCAACCCTTGGCGTCACCCGACTCATCCCCATCTATCACACCCGCGTCCACTCCATCAGCAAACCCTGGAGATTCTACCTTGAAAATGCACCCGCACCTGACACTCTCTCCCCTCTGCTCCCACCACGGCCCAAGCTGCCCGCACCTCATTTTTGGAGCATCACTCCTAGTCCGTCTCGTGCGCCCACTCCAGCTCTCCACCTTTCTTCTCAGCGTGGTCACTGGAGTGACCCTTCACCCACGAAAAGAAGGTGCGATTCATCAGCTCTCACCTGCCCAGCAGCACCCGGGATATACTGGCCGCCCACGACACCCAACCCTCAGTCACGCCCCGTGTCCACGTGCTCAGTGAGATGACCATGCAGCAAACTGGGCAGCGGCCGCTCTCCATCCCTTGAGTCAGACCAGTGGCATGTCATGGAGGGGACTTGTGGCCTCCTGGCCTCGTCCTCATGAGGTCACACGTGCGTCTGCTCTCTCACGGCCTGTTGTGCAACGGCTAGAGCTTTGGTTAGCCTGCTGGAGGACGGAGCAAAGCCAGCCACCTGGGTCCAAACCACGCGACACCAGCCAGGAGCCAGCCAACTGCGCCAGCCCAGACTGGAGGAAGTTCGGCCAAGTCCGGACGAGATGACGAGCACCACTTAGCCAACCCACGCGAGCGACGAGAAAGGTTACTGGTTTAGCCACTGGGCTCTGAGTAGCTTGTTATGCGGCTGTATCGTGACATTCGGTAACGGATAAGTGCCCGGTGACGCTTAGAGCAGTGCCTGGGATTCTACTGTGGCCTGTAAGACCCTGCCCGACCTCACCCCAATCTAGGTTTCATTTTCCACCTCCAACCTGTCCCCCACCATTCTCCACCCACCTCCCTGGTCCTTGCGCATGTCAATCACCCACCCCTGGGCTCCCTGCCCTTTCCACCTGTGTGGGGCCATCCTCCCCGGAACACTGACAAGGCCCCTCCTCTTCTCAGAAGCACTGTCTCTGCTCAACTGGTATGTGGAAGCCAGGACCCCCTGACTCCTGCAGTGTCACTACATCACTTCCTCCTGCCTCCGCCTCATTTTTCTTCAAAGCACCGGCATTGCCTGATGGTCCATTACGTCCTTTTCCTCACTGACTCTGTCCCAGGGGGACGCCCAGCTCTGTTTTACTAACTGCTGTGTCCCCGGTGCCTTGAACGGGGCCTGGCTCACAGTCAGTGCTCAGTCAGCAATTGTGAACAAACGAACAAACGAATGAACGAATGGTCAGGCGATACGCATGTCGTGGGCCTCCTGACTCTGTGGACCTCGCTGACAGGCTCAATGCGTCCGTGTCCCTCGGTGAGGAAGCTGGCTCCCACCAGGACGAGGTGGGCAGGTGCCAGGGAGCCCCGTACCCATCTCACTGTGCTCGGACTCCAGTGCTCTTCATCTCTTGGTATTTTAAATTCCAAGGAATGGCCCAGGAATAGTCCTTTTTCTATCCTTCAACTCCCACCGAAAAGAACTCTTCTTGGGTTCCTCCGATGTGTGGGGCAACCTGACTTCAGCAGTTCTTCCCCAAAGATGCCCTGAAGGAAGAGAGCTGGCGAAAAGGGCCCCTGGGTCGCTGAGAAGCTGCTCCTGAAGGTAACCCCCACTGTATTGACCTGCAGCCTCTGGCTTCACTTCCCGAGTAAAGACCGAGCTCAGTGCGCCTGTTTTGCTCTCCTAGGGAGACGGGCTCCCACCTCGGGAGTGACAGTGATGTAACAGCTCACATCTCCGTTTATAGCCAGGCTGCCGGGAAGCACGGGCCAAATTAGACGCTTAGAGTAACTGTGTCTGAACTCCCAGCTGGCACCTGAACGCTCTTTTCTCTTTATCTGAATCTCCTGCTTCCATTCACATTATTTGAGCGTGTTATTACATGTGACGATTTTGGCAATTTGACCATATCCCTGGAAAGAAGCATGACAGTAACACACGCACATGTGATGAAGTCATCAATTACTCTTCTTAAAAGTATAAAAATCAGGAGCAAGTCACATCAGCTTAAACATTATTGGGGGCAGGGGTTCTCATCAGTTTCTGTATGATTCTAGCGGGATCGTCTTAGAAAACGGCCCCAATTTCAGTCTTGTCTGTTTCACTAAAAGCTTTCCTATTTTGAAGGAAAAAATATGTTTCATTTGCAATTCGGCGAACCCTGTACCAGTGCTGCGAGCCCATCACAGGCCCCGCCCCAAACCAGGTCAGCCTCTGCTTCACCCAGGTGAAGGCTGTGGTCGGGAGCGGGCCACCGCCCAGGTCTGGCTTCTGGTGTGTTGAGCTGGGAGCCCTGCACCACCTGGCGTCCCCCTGGATGGCCCTTGAGCCTGGTAAACTTCTTGGTTCTCAGCAAACTGGAGTGATTGAAACTGGTTTGGGTCCCCATTCAGATCAAACTGATCACAACAATACACATCACACTGAGGGTGCAGGCCAGGCAACTTCTGGAAATGCAAGGTCATGGTTTCACTCAAGTTTACGGAAAGAACGGGGTTTTCTAATCAAGCCAGCTGCATCTCAGCCCCACGCAGCCTTTATCTCCTCCCTTCTCACCACCACTGATGAGCTTTGCTGCTCAGGAAAAAAAAAGCCTAATTGTGAATGGCCCTTTTCTCACTGTGACAAAACTACCAGCAGGAGAGCATGGAGGTCAGTGAGCTTCCCAGTCGGGACCAGCCAGGCAGCCCTCAGAAAACACTCAACCATCCTGCTGAGGGCGCTTTTTTGACACAACAAAGTTTAGCAGGTTCTGTCCAAGAGCACCGGGATGCCCCGAACTCCACACTGTTGCAGGGGGCTCATCTCCGCGCTGTCTCCTCCCGCTCTTGGCGTCCTGTGTGGGAATGGGCAGCTCTCACGGACTTTTGCAGATTCGCAAGACATTCGCTTTCCTTCACCTGCAGCAGTCACCCCGTGAAAAGCACACGTCTCCTCTCATCTCCATGTCCTCCTTGTCTCCCTTTCCATAGAGCAAAACTCCTTTGAGGAGCAGCTCCCTCCGGGCTCCCAGCCAGGCCCTGTCCCAGGCAGCGAGGTCCTGGCAGGCCAGGCAGTGCAGCCCCCAAGGCCAGCTAAGGGCTTCAGGCTGACCCTGGGTCAGGGAGCCGGGGCCAGCGGAGCGCTGGGGATGGCGCTGAGATCTGACTGCTAGTTTAACAATACAGCTCTGGCTGCTGGGTGACAAACAGGACAAAACAGTGCGGTGCCAGTTGGAGACCAAGGGGCGGCAACTGCCAGAACCTTGGCCCCGTAACACTGTCACTTGTCCCCATGGCTGCCAACTCCTCCCGCTCCTGCTAACAGACATGACTGTGTCAACTGACGGCCATCATAAGAGCCCCCCTCAGCTAAGGTCCTGCCACCCGCTACCACCCACAGACCCAGGACCCAATTCTACGGGGACAAGGGGATGTGCCCACCCAGACCACAGCTCTCTCCTCCTAGACCACAGTGCAGCTACCCAGGCCCCAGATGCCCCTATCCCAAAGTCCCCAAGCTCACCTCCAGGTCCGGCACAAGCCTCCTCCCCAGTTTGTCCCCCTCAGGGCACCTGACACCCCTGGTGTGTGTCCCCCAGATGGGAGGGCAGCCAAGGCGCGGGCTGTTTGCAGGGCATGATGGGCAGGATCTGGATGTGAGCCTGGGGTGTCTCCATGTGCAAGGCCCCGGTGCTGAGGTTCAAACCCAAGGTCCGACGGGAGGGCAGCGGGGTCCTCAGTGCCAGTCAGAATACAGGGCCCTTCACCCACTTGGGCAGGCAGGGAAGACTGGCCTGACCACTGCAGGAGGCAGGGGACACAGGTGCTTGGTGGGGAGGCCCACACGGCGAGTGTGGTTCCCACTCAGGTCCAGCGGTGTGGACAGGGCATCTTTCTTTTTAACGTGCAATACAATTCACGTGCCATAAAATTCATCCTCTTTAAGAGTACAGCTCAGTGGTTTGGGCACACTCACAGGCTGTGGCACCATCTCACTACCTAATGCCAGAGCATGCTCGTCACGCCCAAAAGAAACCCCATACCCTGTAGCAGTCACCCCCATCTGCAGCTCGCCCCAGTCCCCTGTCCACTGATGTGCTCCCCCTCAGAGCCCCAGCAGGATCCCAGATGTCATGGATGGAGACACAGTCACTTGTGATGAAGGAGGGCCAGTGGGCCAGCAGGGCTCCGCGCTCCACGACCCAGTGCTGCAGGTCCCAGACGGGGCGACTGCAGGTGGTTACTACCTCGCTGCTTCACATTTCAAAACATTCTCCACACTGAGAACCCAGTACAATGCTAACATTCAAAAAAAAAAAACAACAAAATGAATCAAAACCAGAGAATCCATTCAGCTTAGCAACACCAGCAGCAAACGAGCCCCGTTGAACGCCGAGGGCCACCCCGGCCCATCGGAACTGCATGAGGAGCACCCCGTTCCAGCTCCGAGAGAGCGCTTTTCTGACTTAGCTATTCTCTTTGTCACAAAGCTCGTGGCACATCTGAGCCACAGCTTAAGAGCCCTGAAGTCTGGAGGGCACCTCTGGCCTCCAGCTTGAGGAGCTCAGCCGGCCTCCGGGAGCGCTGCCCAGCATCTCTGGCTCAGCTGCGTCTAACAGCCTAAGAAATGCAAACGCACAACTGGCTTCACGGACCGCTTCCAGAAACATTCAGATTTTGTTATTTATCGCTTTTTAGACCATGAAGAGGGTAGCAGCAGCCCCAAAAGCCCTGAATCTGGAGGACGGCTTAGAAGAGAGTTGTGGCCCCTCTCTGCTCTGGCACCCACAGCCCGTCCCTCTCGTGGACCCCGGGAAGCGGCACTGGGGCCACTGTACCTTTAGGACCTCTTCCAGGCTCTCCAGCTTGGCTTGGAGCTGGTGTCTGTCCTTCACGGCCGAATCGCGTTCTCTGGTCACTGTGGTGAGCGCGTGGCTAAGCCAGGCACACTCTGCTTTCACCTACAGGTAGGAAGGATGAGAGGATGCTGTTTACAACACGCGGGTGCGGCTGCGGGCACGTGTCCCCAGCGAGCACCCAGCACTTCCTCTTTAATTTCTGTTTGGAGAATCTTCCCCTCCCTCATCTCCAGTCATGGGTTTGATGGATGGTGGTTCCACCCCCACTGGGGTGAATACATGTGACCAATGGCTGGCCAATCAGCACACGACCTCCCTCTGGATCCTGCCCACAGCCACAGTGACTGGCTCAGGACTGGGAGTGTGACCCAGCCTGGCCAATCAGTGTGATCCCATCCCCTGATACAGAGATTGGTTGGGGAGGGGCATGTGACCTAGTCCCATGCATAGAGAATAAGGTATCGGACTTGTGTAGAAGCCTGGGCAGCCTTTCTCTTTCGCCCACTGGACTTGGAAAGTTGAGGACAAAAGGCGGGAGATGCAGTGTCATTTGACATCATGAGGGAATGACCCGTCTGAAAATAGCCAAGCGAAGCAGAGGGAGCAGCAGAACCCTGAGGACATCACTGGAGCACCCAGATCAAGCCGTGCCTGAAGCTGATGTCTGCCATCCATTTAGTGAGGCCAGCAAATTCCCTTTGCTTGTTGACACTCACTCGAATTCTTCTGGCTAAAAATGTCACCCCTGTCTTTAAAGTGGACAATAATGGTGACAAGGCTCCACGTGGACTAGCAAGATGGCTGCTCCAGTAACCTCAGAAATCACGTCCACTCTCGGACCACAGGCCCCAGGACCACAGTCAGAACTTGTCACTCTCAGTCTCTCCCGTGGCGTCTCTGGGACACAGAAGGGCACGCCGTTGAGAGACATGACCGTGGTTTGTTCCCCATTACTTTACAGCACACATTGGCCCAACCACAGACTTTTCATTTCTTCGCCTCCTCCCCAACGTTACATGAATTATGCTTCCATGACAGACTGTCA